TTATGGAGGCAAACATTCCTTTAACTCTTAATATAGCTGTTGCTGGGGCTTGCATTCGTCCGGTGCTGTTGCAAATAGTTGAGCAAGTGGATCTGTCTGAGCAAGCTGTTGCAAAGAAAGGAAAACTCTCCGAGTTTCAGAATATCTAAACACCTATTTGTTTAACTGTGTTCTCAAAGTCCTAGATTTTCTTTGGAAAGAAGATAAATTAGCTTTCCTGTCAGTACAGCCGTGGGTATACAGTTGGTTGTGCTATTAAGGTTGGTGGGACATGGTGGTACAAGAAGGCGGGGGCCGAGCCCCTGGCTGGGGTCCGTCAGTCCCACTCCTGCAGCTCTGGTGGGTTTTGGTTTTTTTCCCTGCTTGACACCAGCAGGGAACGGGGCCAGTGGTCCTCTGACTCGGTGTCAAGGAAGGGCGACAAAAAGCTTGGGATCTGGCTGGGATTTGTTTGTAAAAGTACGCAGTTTTGTAAGAGTTAATTTTCTTTCCGTAATTGTTAGCCATAATGTGTATAAGACCTCCACCTTGATATGATTCCTAGCAGATTAGGGATATTAGATAATTTCCTTCTATTTATTGTACTACTGCACTGTATTATCTTTCTATCACTCAGATAATTACTAAGGAAATCTACATTAATTTTTTTTGGCTAGCACAAGGAACTGCTAAACACTGGCATGATGTATTGATGTTTTACACAACAAAAGTTTTCCTCCTGTCATTGTACAACAAATAAAAAGATATTTATCAAAATGCAAAGCCTTTCATGGATTTTAAAGAACAAAGCAAATAAAATACAAGATGAGCATGGAAGCAAAACCTAGAGGCTTCCTTAACTGAACAAAATTAAGGACTCTGAAGCCTGGAGTACTGTACATATTAAACACTCACATTCAAGTAAGATGTTGTTTGCTAAATTATGAATGTGTGTAATTAAAATCTAGTGGCTGTTTCTATGAAAGATTTACAATGTTATTTCATCGTTTGTCATGGCTAATTAACAATATTAGATGAAGTTTTTCTTCTTCAAAGGTCTGATTTTTTCTCATTTATTTATGTCAGAAGTGATAAACAGAGTAGTTAAAAGCTTCTCTGGGTACAGTAGTGAGAAAAGCAACATGTTCTTTTACACCTCGAAGGTTCAAGGTTCACATCCCTGTGGAGTAAAGCAACTCCATCTTCTTTCTAGTGAGAATAATTAAAATTTTCAAAGTGCAGAAGTAACAGCCTTAAATACAGCACAGAATAATTCCGAACGTAACAGAAAGTATTGTGGGGCTTGATGGATGAATAAGAGAGAGTAAGTATAAAATGCCATAAATTAAGCCAGTCGTATTGCCTTAATAGTTGAGACAACCCTTGCATGAGCAAACAGAGCACAGCGCGGGGTTGTTTTTCATTACATCTAAGTGTGATGTGATCGTGTGGTGCAGTTCTCATGTTGTACATGTTCTTTGCCTCAAAGAATTACCCAGGGCTTTTAACAGCTGCCAGCAGCGTTTGCTTTACCCACCGCTGAATCGCAGCCACTTCTGGGGTAAAACACGACCACGTGGACCAAGAAATGCTGCATACATTTTTAATTGGGATGGCAGGAGGGATTGGGGTAGGATGAAAGTAACCGCTGGAGGTGGGAATTGACTGCAGCCCTGTGGTTAGCTCTAGCACCTAAGCGTGCGTTGGGGTCTTTGATATGGGGTGGTGGGCTCGCTAGCTTGCCTTGATACCGGGTGACTGCGATCAGAAGTTGAAGTGTGTTGAGACAAGGAGCCCTGTAAATCCTCTTTAATGCTTCGCTCTGTATTGACAAATGTGCATTTTTGTTTTTGTTTTTTTTTTTTCTTTTCCAGCCCCAGCAACAGCAGGTGGCTACGCAGCAGTTGGCCTTCCAGCAGCAACTCTTACAGATGCAGCAGTTGCAACAGCAGCACCTTCTGTCTTTGCAGCGTCAGGGGCTGCTAACGATCCAGCCCGGCCAGCCTACTCTGCCTTTGCAACCCCTTGCACAAGGTAGGTGAGGGGTTTGGGAGCTGGCTGGCAAAGAGATAGCATGCACGCACACGCACAGAAAATTGTCACTCAGTAAGAGAGAGAGAGAGATCTCATAGGCTGATGAAATAATAAGCACAGAAAAATCCTGACAGGCAGGGTGGGAATTATAAAGATGTTTTTTGAGAAGGGCAACACTGAAATCGTGGACCGCTCTGGCTAGCGGGAGGCGGGCGGTTTGGAGTTTGGATTCAATTTGCACCGCTATAGCCGGCTGGTGGACTCGAAGCTGCTGGTTGTGCTAATCTGAGCTTGAAATCCTTCACGGGAGGCACCTTAATCGATTCTGGGTGCTGGGTTCATGGCTAAGGATAGTGTGAGAGCAGCTTTTCCTTTTTTAATGTGTTATTTGGGGCCCTTTCTGGTTCCAGCCCGGCGAGGAGCCGGGCGCAGAGGAGCTCTGATCCGCACGCTGCCGAACTGTGGAAATGTGATTGTCCTTTGCTGGAGCTGAGAGGGAGAGATGGCCGTGTCTGCTCTCCGAGCCTGCTCACACGGCCTTCGTCTCGCTGCCTGTGTGCATCGTAACTTCATTCCTCCCTCCACACTGAGGCAAACTGGGATTAACTCCGTTTACTTTTAATGGTGTTATTGACAATTGGATCCTCCTACATCTTTATTCAGTCCTGCCCTCTGCAAGAAGTTAACTGTTTTGCTGAAATCCCTATTTGTACTTTTTTTTTTTTAAGATATTGATACATTGAAAGCAGTAACTACTTAAATACTTTTGACAGTGATTATAACCCAGGGGTTTTATTCTCTCTTTTCCTCTTTGGCTTGAATTTTTTTTTTTTTTTTTAAACTGGATTTGTCTGCAAGCCTTGGGACTTTTTAACAGACTTGCCTGAGCTGGCTGCTGTGATTAAGGCAGATTGTTCAAAGTTGGCATGGCTCAGGGAAGACCAGGTCTTTCAACCATGGTGCTGGTATTTCTGAATAATCATGCCTTTTCCTTCCCTTGCCCCGTAATAAATTTAAACATCCACCTCAACAGCTTGAGTCAGCTCAGGTTGAATGATTTGGGCTCTTCAAAGCAGCCTTAGGGCTGCTACTAGTTGCTAAACCATATGATGAGTTTACATTCAGCTAAATGGGGGGGACAGGACAAAATTGCTTCAGTTCTTCACCCGCCTTTTTTGTGCGTAGCTGCAAAAGGAGAACGAGGTCGCTGGTGAATATTAACTTGTACGGATAAAGGGAGACAAAACTGGGGAGTGGAGTCTGCTTTGCCACGTGGCTGGCAGGGTTTATTTAGGTTTATTTTTGCCAGACCCACAAAGGTATTTGGGCACCTAACTGCTGTCTCGAGAGGCTAAGCTTTTCGGGACCTGACACCTCCCTCTGCAAGGCTCAGTTTAGCATCCCAAAGCTGAACACCTGGTCTAGACTAGTCCTGTGCATGGGTCGGAGGCAGGTGGGCGGGAAGGCTGGGGGCTCAGGATCAGGCCTGGGGTGGTGGTTGGTCAGGTACCGTCGATGCGCGGTGTGATGGGGAGAAGGCATGAAACGAGCCCAGGAAAAAGGGCATGTAGACGAAACGCCATTTATACTTGCAAAATGTTGTAACGTGCATTAATTACACTTCAGATTTATTGCTGGAAGCATCCCAGGCTGTTCCCACACACCCACCGGACTCAAGCTTCAACCTTTCTAATTTTTCCCACAGCTCCTATACTATTAAGTTTGCTCGGTAAGGTTCATTGTATAGTACATCAGTTAAGCTGTCCAAAGGAGGGCAATTGGGCAGTGACAAGACACGCTCATGTGTAATGTGAAAGAAATGAATGTGGTGATGCATGAAGTGTAATCTGTGCGGTAACACATCGGAGACACCAGTAGGTAATTCAGCAGTCGTGGCATTGATTGATATGGTTAGCAGGGTAGTGTAACTATTAGTCCTCGCGGAGAAGCGTATTTAAAACCTAAGGGGTGCCGACTTGCACGCTGGAGACGGCGTGAGCAGAAAGGGCTGGTTCTTACAGGGAAATGAGCTGCGGGCGCTGGGGGTGGCTGGAGCCGGGGGCTCGGCGGCGGGAGGAAAGAGTAACTTGAGGATTCAGGCAGGTTGCAATACAGCACGATATTTTATTTTTTTTTATCAGAGAGACGATGGCTTAAAACTGATGTCATTATGAGGTTTAAATCAACTTTCTGCTTGCTTGAACATGGTCACCTGGGTATGGAGGTACAAGGACACAAAGAGGTTGAGCAACTCTGTTTGTCTTTGAGCCGCTGATACCTGGGGTTGGGAAATTGAGTTCCGTGAGCAGTAATCTGTCAACTGTCCCCACAACATACATTTTTTAAACCTGTGCCTACATTTCCTTTCATAATGAAGGGGACTAGTTGTCCTGAAAAATGCAATGAAGAGCTAGGGCTATAGTTTAAAATAATTGGTAAGGTACACTTTTTAGTTAAAAAAAAAAAAAAAAAAAATACCTGGGGTTGGGAAATTGAGTTCCGTGAGCAGTAATCTGTCAACTGTCCCCACAACATACATTTTTTAAACCTGTGCCTACATTTCCTTTCATAATGAAGGGGACTAGTTGTCCTGAAAAATGCAATGAAGAGCTAGGGCTATAGTTTAAAATAATTGGTAAGGTACACTTTTTAGTTAAAAAAAAAAAAAAAAAAAACAAAATATCATGCCCTTCTGTTTTCAGAGCAGTTTGCAAGACTGAGACAGATACTGGAAATGTGCATATTAAAAAAAAAAAATCATCCCTCTAGTAAATGTAGCTATGAATTCGGTTAAAAGCATTTTGCTTTTATTCTTAAGTATCTGTAATAGTAATAAATGTTTCTAAGGAGAGAATGCTACTTCATAAGTGATTTTTTTGTTATGTTTTTAGAACTAATACATTGTTTAAAGCTGTATTTTAGTTTCATTCTAGTTTTTAGTGCTTGCCTATTGTCTTACACAAAATAGCACATCCTTTAATGTTATATTTGTGTAATCTTTTCTGCTTTGTATTTAGACACATCTATAATCTAGATTTTACATCTGTACATAGTAGCAATTTAAAAATAAACCAAATTTCAGCAGTGTTCTGAGCTGCGAGAGCTAGATCTTTAGTATCTGCAAAATGAAACTGCAAATCACACTTCAGATCACCAGTGAGTGAAAATAATAGGACTGAGACATCTGGGTGCCTGCTTGCTCCCGTCGATTTGGCAGTTTCAGGTCTAAATCCCGTTACTGGTACGTATGAAGTTGCAGCACCAGCAGTAGCGATCTCGGGTAATTGCAGCGCAGTTCTGGGAATCTGACTTAAAATTTAGCTCTCGCTGTTAAAATGAAACTGTTAAATGGTAAATTACATAATTTATTGCAAGTGTTCGTGGATCTATTTGACTTGCTTTTACCATTTGTTCTATTATTTTATTTAACCATTTTGCCGGATGAGTAATGAGCGTACCTTTCAGCTGCCCAGTTTGACAGGCTAGTTAGGAATTCTCTCCAGAATTACTCTAAAAGAACTAAATTTGGGGAAGGAGGAGGAAGGGTTTTTTTAATTCTATTTTATTAATCAAGTGATGTCAGTGATGTGGTCATTTTTAAGCAGTGGGTTGCGTGCAGACGCGTATGACATCACAGTTAACTCTTTAATTTAATGTCACCCAACCTGAAATCCTCCTTGTTATCTCCAGCATTTTTTCCCCCCACACAACCGGGTGGTTTTTATTTTTCTTTCAATATGCAGTATAGTTGTCATTAGTGCTAATATGAGTTACATGTAGGAAGGATAGATATTGTAGAGGAAGTTAGACCAAACCCCTTGACTTTTAGAGGATCTACAGCGAGGTATGAATATTATGTGTATGTATATTTGAACGGCTGTAACACTTGCAAGCTTTTCCTTGGGATAAAGCATTAGTAGATCCAGAAGTGACCAGGAGGAGAAGGGTGCCAGGGAGAAGAGAGTGAGTGCTAGCCTGTCTCGTAATTAAAAACCTGCAGAAATACAGATAAGGGGGTGGTGGCAAAAAAAAAAAAAAAAAAAAAAACCAATTATTTTTTCCCTTTTTGCTTATTCTGGAAAATAAAAATAGGTGTCGACTCATATGGTCTCATATCAATATGTTATCATCAACAGACAAGTCTATTCACTATTGTTTCAATTGAGTAAACAGTGGTGGAAGGGTCAGCCGTGCTCCCAGGTAATTGTTAGTGCGCAGACAGTCCTGTCAAGCGTGTTAGATAAAAATACATCCCACACTGTCACTTCGCAAGGTGTTTGAAAATAATAGCCCCGGTATAGCAAAACAGGACATAGGCTTGTGTACTGACCTTTTTCTTTGTTTAATTTGCTCAGAGGTTTAATTTCAGGGGACAAGTAATAATTGAATATGTCTAATAACTAAATGCTCATTTGGGACAAAATCCATCAAAATGTAATTGGCATTTGGGTCTGATGAAAGGAAAATGACGTGGCTTTAGAGAAACGGATGTGTCCTAAGAATATCTGATCACTTAATGTATAAATTGAAGCCTCTTTCATAATATATATTAATTGCAGATACTTAAGGATTTTAGCATTTTTTTGTAGTGAACCGTTACCGGAGACCAACTGTTTTTGTTAATGCTACTCTCGGAAAGGCGGGGAAGGTTATTGGTCTGTCGTGCAATAATTTACTCCTCTTTGATATGCAAACGATCCACGGTGAATATAAAAAAATCCTATCAGACTCATTTCACAGTTCTTAACCACTTAGATTCTCTGGAGTCTATCGCCTCATTAGACCAGTGCTCTCCAAAGCTAGCATAATTAAAATCTTTAACAGTTTAGCAAAGTAAAGATGTTTGGCTGATCACGTTGAGATGATTATCTATCCATTGTATTCTAAATGACAAAAATAAATTAAATTTAGACCTTGGCATTTTTTATTATGTGTTTCAAATGAATATAATGCATACTGCTGCCTTTTTTTTTTTTTTTTTTTTTATTTCAGTACCTTAGGTTTGGTGAGGTACGTGCCTGTGTGAGCTGCTGCTATCCACTCAGAAAATGGCAGGTTTCCTTAGGATAGCTCAGTGCTACAATACGCTGAAACAATGAACAGTCATCGAAATGATGATCTGGGAGCACGGTGATGAGAAACCTCTTCAAAAACACACAGACGCTGGCTTTTATTATTTTTTTTTCCCCTGAATATTTAAGTGATGCGTCTCTACTGCTAATTTTTTCCCATGGCCTTCTCTGAAAGAGCACTGAAACAGTCTTCAGTGAGAGAAACTTGACTTGTTTGATCATGTCACAAACGTAAGCTTTATCCAAAAGCATGATCTCAGCGCGAGCCCGTGTCAAAAAAGCCGCGGCGCCCCGGGCCCCCCTCCCAGCCTGCCGTTCGGCCCGCTGGAGTTTGCAAAGTTGTCACTTGCCTTATTTATTGAATGCGATGTCCTAAGCCTGGTGTCCATTTTGGCACAATTAAAAAAATATTTTTTTTTTTTATTATTATTTCTTGAAGCTTATTTTATGTTTTCATTTTACTTTTGAATGGCTCATTAGCATTGATCTAAGAAATGACAGTAATAATAGTGTTACTTGTATAGAAAGTTATACAGTTTTTCAGTAGACACATCCATCAATTAAGTGAGCAGTTCGAGAAACCAAAATTAATGACAAAGATAGGTGTGTTAATGAAATAATCATAGTATAATCAATTTGACTGTTAAAATTTGAAAAGCATTTCAGGAAGACAATATGAATTCATAATTTATGTCTAAAAGTGATTAATAAAAACTGTATTTAATAACAAAGCTATTTGTCATCATTTAAAACTTAAGCACAAAATTAGTCATATTGTGGTTCGTGTTGTCATAATAATAAAGCTGAGTGGGTTTTTTTTTCCCCAAGACCTTCTTTTCTTTTTAAAACGGGTTAGAAAGTATTCACTTTCCTTAGAAAAAATTAAAATAAATAGTATATTTAAAAAAAAAAAAATAGTAAATTTGTCCAGCTGACTGCAGAGTAGCCCTTGGCCACCTTTGCTGTCAGCCTTGCTGTGAGCTTGGGGCAATTTCTTCCTGAGTAGGGACTCTGGAAATGGGCCCTCTGTAATTTTAATTACAAAAAATAATCATAATTAACATGGAGTTTGGGGTGGGTGTCCTGTTGTGCGGACCCCCCTGCCCCACACCCGGATTTTGCCTTGCGTAGGTATTGCAGGTGTCACACCAGACAATTTAGCAGACGTGCAGCGTTCAGTGTTCGCCTTTAGTTATTAAAAAAAAAAAAAAATACATGCGCAAAAACACACACACACACAACTAACACTAGGCTTTGTTTACTGACTCTTTGATTTAATTACTGTTTGAAGACGGCCGAATTAGCTGTTAATTGATTTAATTATCCAATTTGTTTGTTTCAGGCATGATTCCAACAGAACTGCAGCAGCTCTGGAAGGAAGTGACAAGCTCGCACACAGCGGAGGAGGCAGCCAGCAACAACCACAGCAGCCTGGACCTGTCCACCACCTGCGTCTCCTCCTCCGCTCCGTCTAAGACCTCCTTAATCATCAACCCGCACGCCTCAACTAATGGACAGCTATCGGTCCACACTCCGAAACGGGAGAGGTAGGTACCGGCGGGGTTTCTACCCGTGAGCATCTCCGAACAGCGTGCCGAAATGATGGCGAAATTGTTGGGAGCGGTGGCCAACCGCCTTGGCCTCGGTTTTGTCCTCCACGTCTTGCTCCGTCTGATTTTGGCGTGGTTGAATAGTCTCCACTGGGCAGAATACGCTCCTTTTGTTCAGATCTTTATGGCTTGTTAATTGGATCAATGTGGGCACAATTAGCTAATTAGAAGTGCATTGGATAAGCGTATTGGGGGAAGTGTGAAGAGCGTAAGCTGGTTTTTTTTTTTTCTGAGTTTTGCATCCTGGGTGGTGTTACTCTTGATGTGCTTTGGGTTTGCAGGCTGGAGGTGAGGAAAAATATCTGTTGGTCAGTACAGGCTGACCAAAACACCCGTTTTTCTGCCAAATTTCAGTGCCCAATCTCGTCTAACACGTTTGCCTTTTTTTACTCTGTATTTACCTGCTTTCACAAGACAGGATAGGCTTGAGTTCACCAGGTTTCTCTAAAACAAAGTGGATTTTTTTAAGTGCTGATGAAATTAGCTAACTGGTGTTGTTTGGCTTTTAAAAGTGTGAGTTAATTTATACTTGCTAGGCTTGCATTGTTAACAGAAATGGCTTAAATCAGGGGTTGTCTGTTGACGTGCTTCTCGGCGCGGGCTCTGCTTTATTCCAAAGGATGCTTTATTGCAGGTTTGTTTCTTTACACCCCCAGATTTCACTGAGGCGTGCCTAACAACATAACTTTTGCTTACGGCGAGATAGACGGTCCCAGGAGCTCGGGCCGTGGGTGCCAGCGCCTGCTGCAGCCTTGGCGTCGCTGCCGGCTGCGGAGGAGGAGGAGGAGCAGGGTCTCCGGAGTGCGCGAGCAGCGTGGGCGCAGCGGGGAGGGCAGTGCTTCTTTGCATTCAGGAGAGTCCCTTTGCCCATCTAGAAATGTTATAGCAGATTCTAGTGAAAGCTGGATTTTATGGAAACTGATGGCTTTGTCTTTCCGTCCTCCGTTTATTCATTAGAAAGAGGATAATGGAATTTTTAAGCCATAGAGTTTATGTTTCTGATGGTCTGAAAGTAGATTGATAGGGAAGCTATATAAATACCTCTTATATCTTTCTAATATTAAGAAAATAGTGCTGTTAGGAATAGATAGATTTTTAAAGGGGAGCACACCCACAGTTGAAAGAACTGCGTGTGTAAGGCATCATTTTATATCCATTGCAAGGACATGTGGGGGAACATCAGCGTACACATTTATAATGCATGTAAGCGTCAAGGACATGGTTTTCATGAAGACTTACATGGGATACTAAAAACAATTTGATGTTTATTAAACAATTACATTCCCTTTTTGTTGCATATAGAGCTGAACAAGATGGGTTTATGACTTTCCAATAAATTTTTTATCTATGTTTTTCTTACCAAGTATATAAAACAAAAACCCATGCAGTGAAATGGATCTTCTTTCACTGAACAGAGGCATGTGCTGTCTGCTAATGCTTTTTGCTAACCGAGGAAACAGTATGCCATTGCTGTTAAGTTTGAAATGCAGTGGAAATACAGGAATCTGTTCCAAAGTAAGAAATTTCTCCGTGTATGCTGTCAAGCAGAACTGGAAATCCATGTGTCTGAGTCCTATAATTGTGGCCTGGAGGCAATTGGGATACATATGTTTTTATTAGTAAAGTTCCAGATAAATTAATTAGGAAGGCATAAACATGCCATGGTATTGTTTGAGACTGTATAGGTTAGAAAACTTAAAATCCTTAGTGGTTGAATTGATAGCTGTATTGTTAAAGCTTGCCATAATACTTTCCTTACATATCTATTGAGTTCTTTACAATATCAAAATACAAAAATAGGTATATTTAGGAATACAAATAAGAGGGCTACAGACTTTGCTTTATCTTGCCTCTATTTGGTACGTGGAAGGTTTATGCCATCCATTTGCTGCAGTGATTGAATTACATCTTTATCCATAAGTAGAGCAGGAGACTACACGCAGAAGAATGCCTACTGATGCACTTAAGGGTTTTGTTGCAGTCTCATCAGGCACCGTGGTGCCTGCCTGGATTTCATATGACACAGAAACTCCTCTTGTTGAGATCTGTTGCACTGGCTTCCTTCCTGAAAGGGTATTTATCTACAGGCAGGGGGCTCGGGGCGGTGAGTGAGCAGTGAGAAAAGAGTAGCTGTGCTCCGCCGTCAGCCCACAGAAGCTGAAATTTTAGCGTTCTTACAAAAGAGAGAGCACAGGCATGAGCAGGGTTTTGGTCATTTCTTGATCGCAGAAGTTAAGACTAGAAATAATCACGGGTCTGGTGGGAGCATGATTTGGCTAGACTTGGAGACAAACCTGCGCGTGTTCTTGTACCCAGCTGGTTGAGCCCAACAACTTAGCTTGCGAATACAAGCGGACTTGTGGTGGCGGTCCTGAGCCCGGCTTGGGTCTGTTGGGGCTGTTGAGGGGCTCACAAGGGAGCTGTCAGCCCTCTGCCTCCCACCGCACAAGTCCGCAGCTTGGGCTGGCCAGGGCAGGTTTTGGGGTTGTGGCTTCCCCCCGTCTCATTCCTGCACCTTCTGTGCAACTGGCTGTTAGCTTTGGTCTGATAAAACAAAGAGCTATTTATTTAGATTTAAACAACAGTATAAAGCACATAGTAAAAGCTGTAAGTGTCCTAACAGTTAACCACAGCCACATCATAACGACTGCCCAGCAGCAATAAATAATCATATACAGGTAACATTAACTTTTAGGGCGTGCTGTAAAGCTGTTTTCCCCCCCTTCCTCTTGGGCTTTTGAGAAGGAGTGGGCTGCAGGAGGCAAGTTGGTTATGTGGGAGTTACTATCGTCACTGTCATCTCCGGCACGTGTCACTGGGACAGTTCAGGCTGTGTTTTACGGGGTTCCTGGTCCCACAGGTCAGGTTGCGAGGCTGCTGGAGACCGGTGAGGCAGGAGGCACTCGGCTGACCGCAGCGGCAGCGGAGGCACCTGCGTAAAAGTCGTGAGGTGAGCAGCAGCTCCGCTATACGTCTTGGGTAAAAACACATTTTGGTTATAAACAAGGGGTTTAAAATAGCAGGAGAAATAGTCATTGGCTGCTCGGCGTGCCCACGCGTCGCCGTGCCACGGGCCCAGCCTCGCGGTTGCGCGCAGCGGAGCTTTAGTCCTGCGCAGGCTGCAGGGATGCAGCTCCGCTGTCACCGGTGACGCCGCGGGGCTGCCGTGCTCGCAGCCAAGCGACAGAAAAAGTTCTCCTTTATGGCAAAAAAGCAAACGGCAGGCGGGTGGCCAGACTCACCCTGGGACGTTCGAAAAGCAAAAATACATTCGAAAGCAGGAGGCATCCTCTGCGCCTGGGCACGGCCAGGGAGCATTGCGGGGCTGCTCTTGGTTTCTGTGTGCTTTCTGTGTGTATGGCTTCCACAGGAATGAAACAATTCCAGCTATAAATAATGGGTTAATGCTTTCATTCATTTGGGCTTTAAATGTATATTACATCTCTGCTTTTGTCCCACATTTCGCCCAGTTTCTGTAAGTAGCAGCAGCAGCAGCTCTGGGGTTTGGTGCACAGCAATCTGTTAAGGAGATAAATAATCTGCTTTGGCATGACACTCCTACTCTCCTCTTTAATTTGTCTTACACAAGGAAAATTATAATTAAATCATTCAGGGTAAACCCTTGAGTGTAGAGAAGGAAAAAACACACTTTGGTAAAGATTGCCAATAGAGACCAACTTCCCTGTTGTGCCGTGCAGAGACATTTATCAATATTCAGCACTATTAAAGAGAGAACATTTCGTGTGATTTGTGAGGCGGATGCCAAAGCTCAAATCAAGGCTTGTTAAGATCCTTTCCCCATGCAATCATGGGCATTCAGCATCATTAGAATTCAGCACTGACTGTGTGTTTCATGCTTTGATTTTACTCAGACAATTTAATAATGTTTATTGTGCTGATTATATATATAAATTCACTCAATGCAATAAACATACCTCAGTCATCAGTACCCTAAGGGAAATATTTAGTTATAGATACTTGTATTCACTCAGGATAAGCGAAAGTGAGACCATCAGCCAGCATGCAAACCTCTCATCATCTTATCAGCATTTGGGTTTCTTCAGTAACAAGCATTTTCTCTACACAAGTAAATAAATAAATAACGGGAGCCAGTTAAGTACATCTGCTGTGCTTTGAAATGTCAAGGACGGTACTCGCTTTCCATCTCTTTCCGCTGCATCTTATTTGGGGGAAGCTCGATTATTTTCTTAAGAAAAACAGCAAAACAAAGCGGTGGATGCCCAGCCGCTTTAGGTGACTACTAACTTTACAACCTGATGAGCAGTGGGCATCCCAAAACCTACGTGCTTGGGAATATTCCCGACGTGGGTGGGTTTGGATAAGTAGAACGGTGCAGAATTGATCAGCGCTTTGCGGTGAGCGGAGGTTGCTCCAGCTTGGGCTTGAACCGGGAGGTCTGGGGGTGCTGTGGAGCGGCGCGGGCGCCTGTGTGCGGGTCCCAGCCCCTGGCACCGATCTGTATCGACTGCAGCAGCGACAGGGTGGTACAGGAGCCTGTACGTACGTAAACAAGTGAGTTAATGAAGGTCCAGACCTGTTAATTTAGGAAATGCAGCTGTTTGCAAGAGGTCAGGTGAAGGGTTGGAGGTAAAGGCTGCATGTCCAAGAGACCTTTCTCCATCTGCCAGCAATCCCTGGTTTGTCCCCTGTTGTCTTCGTACCCTTTCCAACCATGCTTGAGTCTTGTGCTTCCACATAAGCAAGCAGCCATCTCATAGGAAAAATAGATGGGATAAACAAGGGGATTTTTAAATGACTTTTTCTTGCCAGCATCGTGGGAGAAAGGAGTCTGGAGAAAGCTCTGAAGGGAAGCGAGAGGAACGGCGTGGCAGACCAGTGATCTGCTGGTTGGGCTTAATGCATTGTGTTTTACTGTTGTTATCTTCCGTGCCAGCTGATCCTCCATCAAAATCCCA